ATTTTTTTTCTAATATCTGGAGCCAACTAGGTGATGAGAGAAATCTTTTTAGCACCTGTCTTTAATTCTTCTAAAAAGAACCTAGTGGAAATTGTTTAAAGATTCCTTGGTCAGTGTTGGTCATAAGGGAAAAATCTGTTTTGTCCAGCTGCACTGTCTGGCATTGATCCCCCAGCCTGGCCCAGGGTTGGGTTCTTTACTTTTTTCAGAGAATGGTGTTTTCCAACTCTACAGATCACTAATTGAAAAGAAGACATAAATCATGAAAGAGAAAGGAACAGAGCTTTCTCTTTTCCTTGGGGCTCACCCAGGGGAACNGGGTACCTCAAAGGATGAGACTGGAGAAGAGTCAGAGAGACCACTGCTGAGGAAAGCAGTCCCACGGGCCAAGAATGAAGAGAGAGATCATGTCCCTATTCATCTGGAGGAATTTTATCCCCTTTGAGCAGCAGTTCTCATTTGTCTCTTTCTCGGGGTGCTGACCATCACCATTCTGTTCTTTATTCCTGTGATTTTACTGCCTTAGATGCCTCAGAGACGTGGAATCATGTGACTGGCTTGTGCCACCTAGCATAACTGAAGGGGATAGTTGTCATACAAACTATTACCATCTGTCTCACAAATCACACACACACACACACACACACACACACACACAGAGAGAGAGAGAGAGAGAGAGAGAGAGAGAGAGAGAGAGAGAGAGAGAGGGGGGGGGGGAGAACAACCAGGGGCGACCCCCCCACATTCATACACCCAAACAGATGGTGGGAATCCACTGACATCTCACATGGTTCCCGGACACTGGATCAGCAGCCATGTCTGATCTCTCCTGTGTCCAAACAGAAGGCCCCTTAGGCAGACTTAACTCTGCTTGTGACTTTCTCATTGGCTTCATTTTGGAGAGGAGGTGTCCGGCTTCTCTGAAGTGTTAGGCAGTAACTGATCCAAGAGAGTCTTGCGGACCTGGAACTCAGGTTATGTACCCCCTAGGAGCTCTTTGGCCACCACACTCTCTCATTTCGAGGGGGCTCTGAGACCCCCCAGTATCTCAAAGTCTGGTCTCTAGGGATCTTGGTAGAACTTCCAGAAATGTTGTGGGGTTACCTTCCAGAGCAGACTACTTGGTTTAAGCTAAGAGAAAAATCTATATTAGTTGACCAGAGACTACACTGGGTGTTCAGGATCCCAGTGCAGCACCAAGACATTCTCAGTGTGAGCTTTTAAGCCCCCAAACACTGTTCTTAGTTGACATACTTTGTTAACAAGAACAGTTAACCAGAAGCAGAATTACAGAGGCCAAAAGACAGCATTAGCACCTTTAGAAACTTTCCCAGAACTATGGACTTTGATGGATTAGATTTTTGTTTTAATTTTGGTAGGTGGTGCTGACCATGTGCTGAGTTTTATGGCTTGAATGGTAGTCCCATTATGGAGTCAGGTATACTAAGTTCTGGGGCCCTGCTACAGAGGCAGGAGGTGAGAAAGAGTCGGTGGCCAGGGGAAGATAAAGTTCAAGGATGATCAAGATTAGGTGGATAACGGGGTCATTATGGGACATGGAGTGGGGGGTACAGAGAGGCGACAGCAAAGATTCCCAAATTCCCAGCTAGTTCTGGAAAGAGATGGAGCTGCTAATCCAGGAGCACCATGGGGGAGGGTAGCGGGTCACCAGTGGCCATGCGAAGCCAGGCCATACTAGGTCCATCACAGGAAAGAGTCCCAAGGGACACCAGTGCTGGGCGGCTTCCACATCACTCACCCGAGAGACTAATCCATGGCAGTTTCCGCGTAGTCCACCTGTGTTGCTGGCCTCTCTACTTTCTTCCTCTGGGCTTTTATGCTGAGTGAGGAGACCAGAGCCTTCAGTGTGGGCATGAAGGGGACCAGGTACAGCAGTCACCTCCCCTGAGCCCCAGTCATGGGCTGTAAGGGTGGCTGAGAGGGAGCTAGACACCCAGTTGGCAGGACCCAGCTGTGGGAGACAGCCTTCTTCTTGTAAAGGCTGTTGGAATTAAGCTAAGCGGCTGGGCACTACTGTCAGGGATTTTTCTTGATTGACACATTTAAGGTGGAAAGACCCACTCTAAATCCAGATCTTTTTTTTTAATTTTTTTTTTATTTTATTGAGAATGGGAAAAAAAAAAGTTTCCCCCTCCTCCCAGCCTCCCATTTCCCTCCCCCTTCCCCCCACTCTTCTCCCCTTCCCCCACTCCTCTCCCCCTCCCTCTCCAATCCAAAGAGCAGTCATGGTTCCCTGCCCTGTGAAAGTCCAAGGAC